TGCTGGAGGTGCCTCTCTCTCCTCCCAGCTTCAGATTATCTGCTGGTGCCTCCCATTGACTGAATTCAACCAGAAGCCAGAGGGCAGGAGTGCCAGGGTGAGACAGTCCATGGGGGCCAGCCCCCCAGAACATAGAAAGGTAGAAAATGAAGTTGGGGAGAATGCCAGCAGAAGCCCCAGCTCTGAGAGTGACTACCTTGGCACTCTGGCCTCAGCCCTTCTCCCCAGCAACCATGCCCCATGTACCCTCTATGTCTCCAGCTAAACATGCCCCTGAGCCTGCACTACTCCAATCTGCCAAGTCTGCACCTTTACAATGCTGTTTCCTGGGCCTGGAACGCCTTCTCCTAACTTCTTGTCTTGGCTGAGGCCTGCTCTCGCTTGGGACTGTTAGCTGAGGTATTGCCCCTGTCCCCAGGCCCTGAGTCTGAGCTTTCAAAACCTCCTAGGCCCATCTCCAGCCAGCACTTAGCGCTCCTCATGTTCTGGTTTCTTATTCTGAGGGTCTAGGAGAGTGCCCAGCACACAGTAGGTGTTCATTTAAATGTTTCTTGAATTGAATTCTAGTACCACACCACTGTAGAAGGGTTATTTGCTATCAGCTTGGAAGCAGAAACCATGTCTCACCTCTGCTGAGGATTCCCCTAGCACCTGATACAGGGGCCGTTTAAATCATGGGTGTTGATTGCTGGTGTAAGTAAGTGAGTATGAGGGAGGCAAAGCCGACCGAAAAAAGTGGAGCATATAAACCATGTCCTCTGAGAGTTCAGGAGATGGTGCTTCTAGCTAGGAAGAGCCAGGGAAGATGTTACAGAGGGGCTAACTCGGGAGGCCACCTCGAAGGATAGATGGGTAGGGAAGAACCCTTCTGGTGGCGGAAATGGCATGAACAAAGGCCCAGAGGCAAGCAAGCAGATGGAGGTAGGAAAGGGTCAGGAAATAAGTGGAGGAGAGGTGGAAGTCATCTTGTCAGCCTCCAGGCTAGGAAAAGTCGTTCCTCTATGTGGAGTCTTTCCTGCTCTCTTCTTCCAGCCTTTCTTCTCCTTCTGTCCAGACCCATTTCTGTCCCACCTTCTCCAGGAGTTCTACACATCCATCTACCCTGCTCTGCATTCCTGGCTACTCCAGCTTCACACCACAGAGCCTGTGAGCCACACCCAGGAGCTCTGCGTAGGCTCCAGAAGCCTCTTCTCTCTTACCTCCCTCCTTTGGGGCCTTGGCTCAGAGCCTCTGGGGGTTGGAGCTGTGAGTTCAAGTTTGGGCAGGAGTCTGCTTACCCCCCAGGGACGTGTTGAGACCATCGGGGCCTCAGGGAGCCAGACACAAAAACCGCCAGTCAGTGGAGCCGGGTGGCTGGCCACAGTGTGCCAGCCTGGGTGTCCGCCCTGTCTCTCCCTCCCCTCCCTTCTCTGAGGGATGTCCCCAGTGGACTGGCTAGTGGCCCGGGGCTCCGAGGGGAACGTGCTTTCTGCAGGCTGTGGCTGAAGAAGGATAAACCAGCTGTCCTGCCAGCTCTGTGTGGGGAAGAGGGAGGTGACCCTAGCCAGCTAGGCCCCCACAGGATGCCAGCAGCAGGCAGAGTGATCAAGGCTCTGGCCTCTGCCCCCTACCCCACTGGTCATTTTCCCCTTGGGATCCTTGATGAGGAAGTCAGAGCTTCCAGTACTGGGTGGGTTGTGGGGGCAGATAAACCCCAGGAGAATGTTTCTGGATGTAGGCTCAGGGCCTAGGAGAAAAGCTCATGCTGACTGGGATCTGGGACGCACTGACTTCTCAGGTACAGAGCAGCTGGCTCTGGGGAAAACCGGAAAACCAGGTTTGTGTTCCCCAGCTGGCTCCCTGCGGTGGGGTACAGGGAAGGAGCTCCTCCTGTGGTCGCTTGCTTGGGGTCTCTCAGGCCCCGCTGGGGCTGAACACTGGGCTGAGCTCCTGTCATTCTTCAGTCATCTGCAAAGCTCCTACTGTGTGTCTGGCGCCCACTGGCCCTCAGAGGATGTCCGAGGCCAGAAAGGCTCCAACAGATCCTCTTGACCTCCTCTCCAGCCCCTCCCCCAGCCCTCCCAGGCCTGAAGGGCAAGGCAGCCATGGAAGAGGGGGTGCTTAGCCCTGCTCCAGTGATGCAGAGAGGGGCCTCCTCTGAGAGGAGCCAGGCATGGAGGAGTGGGCCCCAGGGGTTGAGGCTGTATTAGTGGGCGAGCAGCGTGAACAGGGCTTGCTCCCCAGTGGAGGAGGGCAAATAAAACTCAGGGCTCACTCTTACCCTCCATGAAGCCCCCCTGCAGGGTCGACTTCCCCAGCTGTTGGTTTTCTCTCAGAATAATAGAAAGAATCAAGATGAGGTTCCCATTTCCTTCAGATTCACTTGTTGATTCAATCCTTCCATCTCTCCTTCCCTTGGTGCTTACCTTGTGCCTGCCTGCCTGCCCGCCTCCCCACTCCCTCCCTTCCTTCCTTCCTTCCTTCCTTCCTTCCTTCCTTCCTTCCTTCCTTCCTCCACTCATCTGAGTACCTGATAGATACTTGACCTTCTGCTGGAATCTGGGAATCTAAAGAAGTGGGAGATGGGAGTTCTTAATCCTTTTGGAGCAAAAATCTTGATGAGTAATGAACAAGATACACCCCCTTTCCCAGAAACTTGCCTGTTACCAACCCCGGTAAAAATTCTGGGATGCTGTCAGCCTAGCGGGGGAGGCAAACATGAAACCAGGAACTAAACATGGGATGAGAAATGCTAAGTGGGTTTAGTTTCTGGCTTAGTCTCTTACTAAGTCTCTTACCTCTCTGAACTCCAGTTTCTTTACCTTTAAAAAGGTGATAATGATATCACCTCCCAGTGTTATTGTGGAGAATGAATGAGATAAACTCTAGAAAGTTTATCTAGCAGTGCCTGGTATATATAGGTGTTTATAAATGTGAATTCACTTTTCCTTCCCTGCATTGCATACTTGAGGGATGCAAACTCCTATGAGAGCCCTAAAGAGAGAGAATAAACACTACCAGCAAGGAGAGGGTTAGATTTGAATGGGTTCTGAAGGATGAGTAGGAATTTGCAATCATTTCTCTCTTTTTTAAATTATAAAAGTTCTGTGTCCATATCACCAGGGTCCAGACATGGTGCTGGCAGTTCTACTTATCAATAATGTCAGTGCTTGTCTAGCACTCTCTCTCTGCCCTGTACTGATCTAGACATCTTGCATTTGTCAACTCAAAGGTTATCTCATAATCCTAGGAGACTGGTGCTAGCATTACTCCATTTTACAGAAGAGAAAACAGAGGCACAGAGAACTGAAACTGTCACAGAGCTGACAGGTAGGAGAGCTGGGATCTAAACTCATGTGGCCTGGCTCACAGAGTCCTTGGTCTGAACCATTACCCTACTATATTGCCTTTCCAGAGTGGCTCTGTTTTTCTCACTAAAATCTGAACTTCTGACTCCTACTCATCTTCTTGTAGATCGCTTCTGTTGGAACACAGGATCTAGGAGAAAAAAATGGAAGTCCTAGAGAAAATCTACAGCCTCTCCTGAAAATACGAGTCCAACTTAAAGTATAGAGGCAAGGCCGAAGGACGTCTCCAGAGGACCAACTTTAAGGAGTGGTGGGAGCATCAGCCAGAAGCCAGGAGGGCTAGGTTTGGGTTTCGGTTCTGCCATTTGTAAACCAGCCTCTCCAGGTTTCAGTTTTGTCCATTTATAAATGAGCATATCAGTTCCATGGTCCTGGCATTGGAGTGAGGTCTGTAAAAGCCCTTGAGCCAGCTGCCCTATGTGCCTCTCATGGCATTACTAAGGGTCACTCCTGTACTAGGGTCTCATATCTGCCTCCAGGGCACAGGCGGGTGACCTGAGAGGGACCAGGTTATTTTAGTTTCTCATAAAGAACCTGCCAATGCTCTTGCGTTAGAACACCAGTCCTCTCCCCACAGTTTCCCAGAGACTTGCCCAGGAGAGCAGGAGCGGTGCGGCAAATACCCAGATCTGGGAACCGGCTCTCTATCAGAAATTTATTTTGTAAATTGCATCCTATATTCTAAGTCATGAGGTCAGATTACTGGCTATTTAAAAAGATCTGTGGCAAATCCCTTTGTAAAGTGGGGAGAGAGAGTTCTCTGAGGGCGTCTTTGTAGAAATCTAAGTTTGTTTAAAGGGAAACAAGACTTATCCTGGGCTCCCATTTTACAGAGCAGGAAACGAAGGTTCAGAGGGTCCATGTGCTTCTCTCAGGACGCAGGCTGGGATAGAATCTTAGCAGAGAACAGGCCCCACCCGGCGAGAGGAGCTGGGGAGCGAGCGGACTCAGTGTGCCATGGCAGGCCAGAGCAGAGAATGGAAGTAGAGGCCTGTGCTGCCATGTGGGAGAGCTGGCAGGGTGGACCACCCAGTGGAGGGTCAGTCAGGGGTCTAGGTATCTAACAGTCCATCTTGGGTCAGTGGACCTCATTCACTTGGATAAGGCGCACAACTTTATCACGCACCCATTGCCTACCAGGGTCTGCCAGTGCCCAGTGCAGTGCCTGGCACAGAGTTGGGGCTTATCCAGTCATCACTAGATGATCACCCAGCAGTTCTAGGATCAATTCACCTCCTCAGTGGCTGGCAGACTCACAGTGGGGAAATAAGTCAGGAATGGAAAGCCTTCTGCTTCCATAGACTTTTCTCGATCGCCCTCTATGTGCTTAGGGCAATGCTTGGAGCTGCTAGGGAAAGAGATTCTGGGTAGGGACAGGGTGGGTAGTGGAATAAACAGGAGCTAAAGTCAGCCCTCACCCTGAGGGGTCCCTAATCTGCAGAAGGAGGCAGATTTGTCTGCACCCACGAGGAAAATTTGGGGACAGAGAGCACAGAGGCTGGAAAGAGCAGAGTGCATAAGAGCTGCAACTCTAGTGTCATTCATTCTTTAATTCATTTGATCAACAACTATTTACTGAGTGCCTACTATGTACCAGGCACCACTTTAGGGTCTGGGGTTATAGCAATGAATAAAACAGATGTAAAACCTTACCTTCGTGGAGATTGCATTCTGGTAGATCAGGTAACATTCAAATACACTAGTCCGTGGCCATATTTGCTCTGAAGAAATATAAAGCAGGGGAAGGGGGTGGAGCGTAGACAGGAGATAGCAGCCTGCTTTACCTGGGAAGGGCAGGGAAGGCCTTTCTGAAAAGGTGACATTTGAGCAGAGCCCTGATAGAGCCGACAGAGTGGATGTATGGGGAAGAGTTTTCAGGCGGCAGAAGCAGTAAACGCAAAGGCTCTGAGGCAGGTAGGTCTATGCTTGTGTTGAAGGAACAAGGAGCGAAACCAGTATGCTTGGAGCAGAATGAAGGGGCCAGTGGAGGAGCTGAGGTCAGGGAGGTAACAGGGGAGCGTATTGTGTGGTCATAGTACATCCACGAATGAAGTGAGTGGAGGAAAGGTCCTGATCTGACCTACACTTTTTTTTTTTCTTCTTTTTAGCAACAGAGTCTTGCTCAGTCGCCCAGGCTGGAGTGCAGTGGCGCAATCTCGGTTCACTGCAAGCTCCGCCTCCCGGGTTCACGCCATTCTCCTGCCTCAGCCTTCCGAGTACCTGGACTACAGGCGCCCGCCACTACGCCTGGCTAGTTTTTTTGTATTTTTAGTAGAGACGGGGTTTCACCGTGTTAGCCAGGATGGTCTCGATCTCCTGACCTCGTGATCCGCCCATCTCGGCCTCCCAAAGTGCTGGGATTACAAGCGTGAGCCACCGCGCCCGGCCTGACCTACACTTTAACAGGCTCTCTCTGGTTGCTGTGTGAATTCACTGTAGGGAACAAGGCGAGGGTGAACACAGGAGGCCAGCAAGGACACCCTGTAGCAGCCCAGGCGAGAGATGGTGGAGGTTTGGATAGAGTTGTAGCAGGGGTCATGAGAGAAGGACTGGATGGAAAGTCTTCAGCTCCCACCCTGCCACTCTCTAGCTGTGTGCCTTGGGCGAGTTACTTAACTTCTCTGAGCCTCCGTTTTTTCATCTGGAAAACAAGGTTGGTAATAATCCTTACCTGGTGGTATTTTTACCATGCTTACCCGAGACATAAGCACAGTGCCTGGCACACTTGATGCTCACTCAATGACAGCTCTCAGTAATTTCTGACCCACAGGAACCTACTGTACTGGGACCACATATTCAAAGTGGAATAAACTGAACCCACAAAAACTGAGGAGATCTAAGCTGGTTCAGGGGGATTAGAGGTTTAAAATGTGTTTAAGCCCCCTGATGTCTTGGGGCTCAGTTGGGCGCTGTCCCCACTGCCCACATTCCATGCCCATGCCCCTGGGGAGAGGTGCCCTTTGGCCTTCTGTTTATTTGTTTGCCTTTTACCTGCATTGAAGTTTCATCTGAGAAACCGGCCCCACCAGTCCTGGGCCCAGCACCAGCCCCCCTCATCATGGGTTTCCAGCTGCTCCTGTAAAGTCAACAGTGCCCAGGAACAATGAAGAAGGAGGGGACAGCAGGGAGGCCCATAGCCCACTGTGCTCCCTGGCAAGCATGTGACCCTCAGGAATGACTGGCAGAGGTAATGACAGGAAACAAGCCTCAGAGAGGGTGGAGCGCTGAGAAAGAAACCCTAGTCTCAGGCAGGTGCTGGTGGCTGCAGTGCCTGCAGAACTGGCCCTCCTGGCTGTGGACAGGCCATGGCTATTCTAGAGACAAGGGATGGTTCTGGGGCAACTGGGAACATGTGCCTTCCCTGGGGGACATCAACCTAGAAGCTTTAATTGATAGGCCCAGAAGGGGCTTGGTCCAGCCCTGCTGCATCCCTGCATTGTCTCACTCTTCCATCTATTTAGTTGAAATACTGAGGCCTGTTGTGAGCCAGGGCCTGGGGTTAAAAAAGTTTCTCCCACAAAGAGCATTTGTTAGGGAAAGTGAGGCCAGAGAGAGAGAGAGAAAATAACTTTCCACCGATCGGTCGCACAATGAGTTGCTGCAAAGCCTGCCTAGGACTCTTGACTCCCTGTCCAGTGCTCTGACAAGCAAGCACTCCAAATGCTTCAGACACCACTTGGTGGCCTTGGGGAGCTTGCTCCTTAGTGCATTTATGTCTGCTTGGTTGCCTAGGAGAGGGCTGAGGGCTGTGACCAGCTTAGGGCCACAGGAGTTAGAGAGGAGCTGGGCATGTCTCTAGGCTGGCTAGGCTGCAGGGAGCCCGTGGCCAACCTGGGGGAGGTGCCTCTGGCATGCTCTGTGGCTTCCATCCCTGGGTCAGTTTCACCATCTTTTTCCTGTTAATGGGTTGCCCTACCAACCTGTCAAGGTTTCTGTGGGGAATGAGAACGTGACCTTCTAAGTTCCCTACCGCAGAATCTGCCTTGAGCAGGGTGAGGTCACGTGGTGGCACAAGCAGAGACTGGGGAGTGAGGTGAGTCCCAGATGTCCCCAGGCTGTCTGTGCTGGGCTTCCACTTCCAGGCAGGTTGTACCTGTGGGCCTGGGGAAGGGGGTGACTGTGGGGAGACCTACCTTGCCCTTAGGGAGTTTGATGGGGAAAGCTCAATTTCTGCCTATAAGAAATCGCCAGACTCATGAGCCCAAGGGCCTAAGTTGTGAAAATTTCATCCAGTACTCCTGCAGGCCATAGCCAGACCTCACAGAGCTCCAGCAGAGGTTGGTGTGTGAGCTGGGTGCCGGCCTGATCTCTAGCTCAAAGGAAAGGAGGCCTGTGCCTTCTGGCCATGGAGGCTGCCCCTGATTTTGGTCTCCCGGCCCCACTCCTGAGGGCCAGCCGCCCCCTCTGCCCAGACACTTCTCCTGGTATGAGCAGCCCCTGCCTGTGGCTCCCACCTCTGCCCCCCATGCAGCTATGTATTCATTCAGTAGGGTCTCCCTGCCCTAAGCAGTGATTCTGTCATGGATCAATAACAGGCATGGTGGGAACCAGCTATGAGTTCCCCAAGGCTGCTGCGCTCAGGGAGTACACTGCTGGACAGGTGTGTTCACAGCCACTGCTCACCCACACAGCGAAGCGGGGCTCCTTCACGGGCTGAGTGTGTGGCCACCACACTCAGAGTTATGATCCAGCTGCAGGAAACCATGTACTGGCTGATGCCACCTGGATGGCCAGTTGTCTGGCTGGGGCAGCCAATCCCCCCATCTTTCCAGTACCTGCCCCCCTGCATGCCTGGGGTCCCAGGTATTCCCCTGAAGACTCTTCTCCCTGTCTGTAGCGTCTGGCACTGCTAACCCAGCCCCGAAGTATGCCCAGTGCTTGCTTCCTATGAGGCCCAGCCTCCCGCGGAGCCTCCGGGTGAGCAGGCGCTGGGGAGGGTGGTGGGAACAGCACCGAAGGTCGGAGCAGGGGCCAGCAGGGCCTGGGAAACCGCGAGGTCCATGGTGGGTCAGGAGAGACCGGCTCCTGTTTGTTGACCCTGAGCTGTGGACACAGGCAAAAGCATCACCTCCCTTTCCTGGTCTCCTCCCTTCCCTGGTCCTCTGTTGTCCCAGGCCTGCCCCCACCCAACTACCCCAGGCTTCCCCACTTCTTGGCCACCTCCCTGTTCCCTGGCCACCCCACTCCGGGCTCACTCCAAGTGGGGCTTACATGTAAAAATAGCCCAGGTTTTTTTTTTTTGAGCTTGTTATCGACTATTTTTATCAGATGGTTCAAGCGAAGCATGGCCGAAAAAAGGGAAAATCACACAGCTCTGTTTGCCAAGCTCAATAGAAATAGCACCGGGGTGGGTTATTTTTAACAAGATGAATACCCCTGTCCTCTGAGGTCTCCCCTGGCCCCATCCCAGCCTCCTTTGTCTCTCTGCCTGGACAGCAGATTTTAAAATACGCCCACAGTTGCCAAACCACTAAATGCACCCAAGACAGCGACTGAGGCCGTTGGAGCCAAGGAGGGCCGTGGGGGATTTTTTTTTTTTCCTTTTTCCTTCCCTCCCCTGAAGGAAATCACACTCTTTTGTTTGAAAAAACTTCCAGGTTGGTTTTTGAGGCCTTTTCCTGGTTGTCCCACTCCCACGGGAACAGCAGAGGTTACTCTGAAACATGCGGTGGTTTGGGCAGAGTGACCCCAGAGGCCCGGTGTGGCCCGTGGCAGCCCGTGGTGGCTCCCGTGCCCAGCTGTGGCAGAACAGGAACGCAGGAGAAATCTGAGAAGCCGGGCGAGGGGAAATGGGTGGGGAGAGGCCTGCGGAGTAGGGCTGAGCGGTGGAGGCGCCGAGGGGGTCCTTGCTCAGCCGCCGTCCATGCAGGTGGAGTGGCTGGGAGCTGAGGCTTTACTGTGGTTTTAAGGCCAAGCAGTCCTAGCTGGGCCATGACAAAGCCTCAGTTGGCTGAGGGCTCAAGGGTCCTCCGCATTGAAGTTGGCACCGGAAAAAGTCCCAGGGTGTGGAAAACCGCCTACCACTGTGCAGCACCTATCACTGTGAGTACCAGTCCAGGAGTCAGGAGACTTAGGGAACAAGTCACCGCCCCTTTTCAGGCTTTGTGTCCCCCATGGACCAGAAGGGGCCTGGACCAGCCTGGGCTCTCTGGGGTGTGCGGGGTGTGCCTGAGGGTATGTAACCACTTCTGCAGCACTTTTCTTTGTGGTCAGGAAAGGAAAGAAAATAGAAACAAGAGGTAACATTAATTGAGCACTTAGTCTTGGGGAGGAGGTGTTGAATGAAACACTTTACCTCACATGTGTCGTTTCCCACTTATTTTCACTATAACCCTATTACTGTCCTTTACTGATGTTCACAGAGCCACTCTCTTCCCTAGTGGTCATATATAAAACCCAGAGAAGGACTGTGATCAGCAGGTCTGGGATCATGAGCCCGTCCTGGGGCCATCTTTCTGGCCAAGGGGACTGGAGGCTGTGATTGGCCATCTCCGATCCCAGGCCTACCCCCATGGCCAGGAGCTGGGACACAGCAGTTGGCAGTCCTGCCAGAACCACAGATGTAGGGGACTGGGCTGTTCCCACCAGATGCTGCTGGAGACGGGGAGATGCTGGGCAGAGGAACTTGCAGCACCCCCTGCAGGGGGTGGAGCCAGGCACCTTCTCCAGCCACCCCTATCCCGTCTTGTCAGTGCCTGACCAGTTTCTATTCTGCTGCAATTCAGGGGAAAGGGAGAGAAAAATGGGTCATGGTGCAGGGTGGAGAGTGAGTGGAGGTGAAGAGGACCCCAGTGTAACCCCACTTCAGCCATACTGGACCCCAGGCTGGAGCCTCCCTCACCCCGACCCTGCCTTGTGTCCTGCTCTGACTTGTCTTGGGCCTTTGCACATGCTGCTCTCTCTAGTGACAATGTTACGGACCACCCTCCGCTTCTCATTTGGCAACCCCCAATACATTTTTCAAACCTCATCTCAACAGCCCCTCCTCCAGGGAGCCTTCTTCCCTCCCGACAGGACGGGGACTCTGGACTCCTGGCACATACCTCCACTGGGACTCTTCGGCCTGCGGTGACTGCCTGCCACTCACCTGCCTGGGGGCAGA